ATATATGTTGTTAGTTTGAAAATACTTATAGTACTTTATAAAATTCAAAAATGTTTAATTTATTTTTTCAGTGGATGCAAAAAGAAATGATAGTGAACTTATTAAATGAATTGAAAAAGAAAGACAACAAAATATATATTTAAAGAATAAGTCTTCTTCAGAAATATTATATAAAATAATGGAAGAAGACTTATCCTTCCTAGAAAAGTACCTAGGTATGGTATGGATAAGTCTTCTTCAGAAATATTATATAAAATAATGGAAGAAAACTTATCCTTCCTAGAAAAGTACCTAGGTATGGTATGGATAAGTCTTCTTCAGAAATATTATATAAAATAATGGAAGAAGACTTATCCTTTCTAGATATGTATTTAGATATGGTATAAAGCTATCGCATAATATAGAGGTATATCCAAAAGAAGTGATAGCAAACTTAGTTAATAAATAGTAAATAAAAGGGAAGCGAATATGCAACTGAAAGTGAAGGCTTCTCTATAATTATTATATAAAATATTAGGAGAAGCCTTCATCTTTTTAGACATATACTTGGATATAGTGGAGGCTTCATGTAAGATAAAAATATATCAAAAAAGTAATACTGAAGTTAGCTGGTCTCTTTGAAACACTTTAGAGACGCAAATAAATACATTCTTAATAGGTGATATTTAGGGTAGTCTTCTTTGGAATCTTTTTATAAAAAATTGGAAGAAGGCTTATCCTGATGGTATGTATCTAGGAATATGTGGTATATATGTATCTAGAGTATTCTTCTGCATAATAATTATATAAATATTAGCAATAAATAGGCAATAGTTGCAAAGTACGCACTTTTAACAAACAAATAGACCAATCATAATAATACCTATCACGCCTCCAAGAATTATAATACCTCAGCCTCTGCTCCTAATGGCAAATAGGTAGTTAAAAAGTAGAATTAAACTTAGCCAGTGATATTGTGTAAGCCATTTAATGTGATTTGTTATCCTATTATAGCAGGACCAGCTTCTAGACCATATCGTTTAAAATCTTCTTTACTAGTTTTGAAAAAAGCACAACCATTAATTTTTTTTGTGGGTTCTAGAAATGTTCTGGAAATATTCTCGTCACTAACTTGTAATTATAAAAGGGTGTTCAGTGCTATAACAGTATTATATAATTGACACAGTAAGATGCAGTATAAATTCAGCTAGCATTATTCTACAATTTCAGTCAGATCTTTGAATATAATAACTCAGCATTCAAGCTGGCAAACTGCCAGTTCCATAACACTTCCATGATAGTTTCTTACTAGTTCTATGATAGCTCTACAGTAGTTCCAGGACACTATCAAGTTACCATCATAGCGTCAAGCTGGATTCTTAAATCACATGCTCAAAAGATTAGCTGAAATTATGGTATAGTGTCAGCTGAAATTAACTACGAATTTACTGCATAACCTAACACCATATTTTTTTTATCACATTTTGGTATTTTAAAAGGCAATTAAATAGACGTAAAAGGTAAGTATATCAATATAAAATCTAATATCAATTAAGTGCAGGAAGTTAGCACTTCAATATTAAATCAGGTATCTAAACAACTATAAAAGGTCAATAATCTTATTATAGAATTTAATATGTAAATGACTTAGAAATAAAAAGAAAAGTGTAATATTTAGATTATATGTGTGTAGTAATTAGATTATATTGTGATAATAAAAGTATATTAACATAAAAAATATAAATATTAAGAAAAACTTAAAGACATAGCTAGAATGTAAAACTGATATAAGAAATAAAAAAAATATTAAATTATATGTGGTAATTAGATCACAGTATTTAAATTATATGTGGTAATTAGATCACATTATTTAGATCATATGTGGTATTCGAATTATATGCAATATTCAAATTATATGTGATATTTAGATCATATGTGATACTATAATCTAGGGTAAATGGAATACCACATGCGATATAATTATATCACATGTAGTATTCTACTAAGGTATTAATATTCCTTTCTCTCTTTTTTTAAGATAATAAGATTATTTTTTATTTTTTACGAGTGTAAAATTAATACCTTTATCATTCTTTTATAGATATAGACTTTAATATAAAAGCCCTCATTACTTATTTCAGTAATTTTAAAATTATTTAGTTTATTATTATTATTCTAAAGTTTTATAACTTATCTAAGTATTTGAAATAATTATTTTTTTAAAAAAGATAAGAAATGCTTCATAAATAAATATACTTTTAGATTCTTTCATTTATTTATTAATGATAATCACATAAATCAGTTTTGCATTATAAGTAAAATTAGATCAATCCAATTTAATCTAATCTAAAAGACCAGTTTTTCATTTTTTTTTTTGAACTAGACCAATTCATAAATCAGTTAAAAGATCAGTTTTAAATCAGTCTTATACTATTTAAATTAGTTCAGTTCAGTCTAAGATTCATTTTTTCTCAAATTAGACTAATTTATAAGATTAATCTAAAGGTCAATTTAGAATATATTAAAAATATATATATATAAAATGATTAATTTAATAAAATAATTATATAAATTTAATAAATAATAAATATATACGAAACAATTACTGCACTTTCTTAATCTCATTATTTCTTCATTTTTGATATTTTCATTTTAGATATTATTGTTATAGTAAAATATTAGAACAGGTACAGATTAAAATTGAGTTTAATTTGTAATATTTTATAAATAAAATAAATTTATTTTATAAAAATAACCTTAATTTATAATAATATACTATAAATAATGAAGGATTAATCATCCAGATCAGTCCTTAGAATGTAGACTGAAGATTGTAAAGATCAACTATTCTAAAACTAGTTTTACTAGGATTGACTATTTTTAATTATAAGTATGCTTATACTTTTTGAAAATTTGCAATTAAAATTATTACTTTAGATTTATTGTAAATATACTTCTAATTTTGCATCAATTGTTATAAGATGAAATTATTATTAGTACTATTTCTGATTCAATTTTTTCATATTTAAAATAATGATCATTAGCTCAGAATATTTTTTGTTGAATTATTTAACTAGGTTATGATGTATTATAATAGATTAATAAATAATTAATTTGGTACTAATATTAATTATTTTTTCTAAAAAATTTTGGCATTATTTTTATTTATCATACTTTTTACTTAATAATTTTGATATAATTTTAATTTAATATTACAAAAAATATGAGTATTTATTTTTTGATATTTTTTTTTTGCATTTAGAAATATAATATTTATTTATTAATTTTTTATTTTTTGAATATTATAAAGATAATTATAAATAATTTCATTAAATAATTTGATATATTATAATTTAAAATTTAATTTTTATTAAATTAAGTTAAACATCTTTTTTATATACAAAGATTTTCAGAAAAGGGAGTTATATATTTAAATATAAAAGAGTTTCATTTTCCTAGTATATTTATATAAGATAACTGTTATTTTAAAAACTTATTGATTTAAAATAACTTTTGCTAAATCATATAAACTTTATTATATAAACTTGATCATAAATAAAATGACTAAATAAGATTTAACTTTGATCAGCCTTTTAGAAAACATATTAAGCTTATCTGTCACTTTTTCATTTTACTTTAGTATTATTTATCATATAGGTTAATTATTAGAAAAATCAGATTCTGAGAATTTTTTAGCAAAATTGAGATTTTTATTACATTATAGTTTTAATGTTATTAGATTAAAATGTATTAAGCTTTTAATTTTAATCAAAATTTTCTCAGAACTTGATTTTCCTAGAAACCCTCCTATATCTATATAAATTTTATATTATATTAAATAAAAAAACACTAGCAAATTTCTTATATGATATAAAAAATAATGCAATTATAATTGTAAAAACTACTTTTTTTACTACAAAACTTGGTAAAATTAATACTGAACATAATGCTAAACTTATCAAAAAAATCAATTTACATAATATTAGTTATATTTCTGATACGTAAAAAATTTTATCAAAAATCAATAATATGATTATAAAACTTAATAATATTAAAGAAGCCTACCATAATGATTTTAAAAATATTTCATCTGAATTTACTTTAATCAAGATCTCTATTGAAATAAAATGATATAATATTATACAATTGCTCAAAGACATCAAGTTAAATTTGATCAACTAATTGTGATTAATTAATCTAAGGCTTTAAGTTCTACTTCTAGTAGCAAAAGTTTTTTAATTAATTATTCAATTGAAGAAAATAGGAATAATTTAAAAAAGTTTTTAATTTGAATAAAAGAAGTAAATAATTTAGAATATGCATGTGAAACTATTAAATATAAAATTCATCAACTTATTAGTGAAAGAATTGAAAAAGAAAACTGTGTTATGATATAGAGGATCCAAAGTTTAGAATATTAATGTTAATTATAGAATAAGTAGATAGTAAAGAATAATATGAAGTAATGAAAAGAAACACTCATTTATAAGTTAAGGTAAGTGATTTCTCTCTTGAAATATCTATTACTCTATATTTAATTAGTTTAACTAAATTCTTTATATTGATAACTCATTTATAAAAATAAAGATGTGATTATACATTTTTGCAAATATAAATTTTAATTTTATTACAATGTAATTTAATGCATCATCATATAGAAATTTAATGCTAATATATATATATAATTTCACATATATTATTTAACAGGTTTTTTTTTATTTGTGATAAGAATACTGATTAATTGAATCTAATAAAAATTTTATGTTATTCTGTTTCATTTATCGAATTTTTTTGATTTTTACTAAAAATAAAAATTCTCATATTAGAATACATTTGTTGCTAATTTATTATGTAAAGATACATACCTAATTTTTTCTATTAGCTTTTTAATAGCTGGTCTAAAATATATTCTATATTACGATCATTCACATTATTACGAGATCACTATATTCATTAAACTGAAACAACTCTGATCTTTTGCTAGCTCTATATGGAAGCTTCACTAAAATATAAATACTTTTTCAATTATCTGTAGAAGTTTTGATTTGTTTGTGTAACTTTATACGCTCAGAGACTTTAGATATCTGATAGTTTTTGATGTTTTCAGCATAATTCAAATCATAATTTAAATCATCATAATTTAAATCTTGATCATACTCTTTTTTCTCCTCCCTCTCTAAGTTGTCCTCTTCATTAGCTGTGACATTATTCAGTAAAATACTATTACTATTAAGACCAATTTGGAAATGTTTTGGTTTCTTATAAGAAAATTCCACATCATTTTTTCTCTTTCTTAGACATTCCATATATTGAAACCTCATACATGACTTGATTAACTGTTCTTTGACTTTACTACTCTTAATAGGACTACTAGAAACTGTACAGCTTACTGATAATAATATCACATTTTGCTCATTATCCATGAGAGAAATCATCACGTCTGATCCTGAGTATATGTCTGGTTGAATTGCATAAGAACAATAGGTCATATCATTAACATATTTGGCTATAGGAACGCTTCCTGGTAAATTTGAAGTTGTAATAAACTTCATCTTGGGAGTGATCCATAAAGGAAGGTCAAATTGTTGTCCATTTTTCCATTTATTAAGTTCTTTTCGTACATTAATCCCACGTTTTTGAATGATCGCCATTATAAAGACAGCATCAAATTCATTGCCGATTGATGAAATGTTATTGAGCATGATAATGTTATCAACAAAGACATCTACCATTTTTTTTCCTTGTGTGTTTTCAAGAAATAATCCAATGCTGTTGATAAGGTAAGATTCAAGCGATGGGTTTATTTCGATTTCATTAGAATATTTATCGTTATGGCCAAGAATAATGCATTCTGGTGACTGACAAGGAATGATGCTGTGCTGGAGAAGTTCTATAGCTTCCTTGAACTTATGAATATAAAAACACGAAGTCTAAGTACATCCATAATCGCTGTCTCTGGATTGAGATTATTCGCACCAAGATATTCACACGCGTTCGCCAAATATTTTGCCATGTCATAGCTAATTTTGTTATACCATGACCAAATAAATTCTTGTAATACTAAATCTTTCGTTCTACCATTCGATCTCTGCTTTGATATTAACAGATGAACAAATGATGCACATTTTCGAGGTCGCCCCCTGAGAATATATCCCAAGAGGTTGCGAGTTTCGGGGGTAACATGCGTCAGGTCAATTACGGCGTCAAGGTTCCGTAAGACATCATCATGTGAGAGAAAGGGAAGTTTTAGTACAATATGAGTATGCAAATTTGGAACTTTTCCACAGAAGTGACAAGAGAAATTCCGCTCGCCATATGCATGTATGTGCCGGCAATAAGGCAGGTAATGGGATGTTTGAGAAGATGTGCTACATAACCTTGCAAAAGGTTCCATTCTTTACCAGGAACTGAACTCCCTTGATATTTTCCATATTCGAATCCACATAGGATTTGCGACTCATCAAATATTAAGATACTTTGAGACAAGTATTAATCTTTTTGATAAGTGTAATAATAGTAAGAGTATCATATTTTTTAAGGCCTAAGATTCTTCGGATTTCAGAATCATTCGTTTGAAGCTGTACAAACAGCCATTCCTTTGGTGTTAAAATTTTTCCCTCAATAATCATCTTAATAAGTAAAAGTCCGCGTGAGACTACCGCTTTGTCCAGCATTTGAAATGCTTCATTTTGTTGATCAATACAATCAAACTTGGGTTTTGTGCCTCTGATTCTTTGAAGCTCTGATGCCAGGCGTCATATTGCCCTAAAATAGGAGAAAAATCAATATAGATTGACCAACGTTGCAAGGCAATTCCGAATTTTTTCCACCTCCTGAAACCCCAGCGAGCACAATTATGTCTTTCGGTTCTTCTTCAATCTTCTTTTGCACAAGAGAAACCGTTTCTTTGAATTGTGGATCATCATAAAAGGGATTGTTATAATTCGTTCCGGATTTACCGTAAGAAGGGAGACACAGATCAATTTTTGTGAGAGTTCGTTTAGTTATACCACGGGGCAAATTTATTTTGAAAAAAGAGGGTTCCTGCTTCAGTTCAATATACGGGTCATTTTGTGGGCCTAGAGAGTCACTTTCCACCTCAACGTGCCAAATCAAGGCTAGTGCGTCAATAAGCTGGTCAATTGAAAAAGCATTTATGTGTGGAAAGGTCTTTATAACTAAAAAAAAAAGAGTGAACGTGAGCGAAAAGTTAAAGAGCCAAACTTCTAATGCAACGAACCTTTATTTTTAATTTCAATTTTAACTCCGTCAGGAATGATGTGTATCGACGAAACTAATGTAGTGAAATAAAAAGAAGTAAACACTTAAAATCCGCCTGTCATTGTTGATCGTAGACTTAAGCCTACAAAAAAGCTATCTTTGTTCGAGAGGTAAACCATTGGGAAACACTTACCAGTAGTGGCCGGTGGTTGTATGATGATATGGATTTTCCCCTCTGGAAGTTGACCACTAACATAGAAACCAAATAGAAAATGAGGTTTCATTTTATTTCCTCCAAGTTTTGTACAACATCTTCTTCGTTAGAAACATCAACAACTTCGTCGACATTAACATGCCAAAGATCGAATTTGGAAGCGTTGTTAGTAAGGTCTTTAAGAATATTATTTTTCCATTCCCAGATATACTCCTTGAGGAGATCGATGGTTAACAATTTTACGGAGATATCACTTTTCTTAATAGAAATTTTTTCGCAAAAAGGGACCGAGAAAATAGTTCTAGTACCTAGGACGAAACAACTTAATGCCATTATGACTATATCTGCAATCGCGAAAACCGAGAGTTAAAAAAAAAAAATGTCAACAAAATTAATTTTCAGTAAAAAAAAAAATAGAGACCTTTTTTGATTCGATAGCTTGACAGATAGGATTTTTCATTAAAGTTATTTTGTACTGGGGATAAAATACCGTATGTTACATACAATTTGTATTTGGCTAAGCGCGAAATGTGGCTCGTGTTGAAAATGCGCAGTACTACTATTCGGAACAAAAAAAATATCTAATCGAAACTAATAAACTCATTTATATGATTGGGATTGAAGATTCTGATTGTTTATATTTTTGAGACAAAGTTCTTGCTTTTGTCCCATAGACAATGTATTACTTAATTTTCAAAAGACTTGGTAAAAGATGATAAATAAAAGAAATAAATCTTCCAATTTATATTTATATTAATTTATTTAACATTTGATATTTACTTTATTAGTATAATTTCGATATATTAAAAAAAAGTGAAATGACGATCGATCGTTGAATCAAGAAAAAAATCCATTTTTTTATAACGACCATCGGTATAACGAGAAAAAAATCATTATCGGTTTATCGCGAATAAATAATTATAGCTGGTTTACAACCAGAGTTCGGTATATGCAATATCGCGAAATTTATAATAAAATCGCTATATAGTGATAAATTTTAAGAATAAAGTTCGTTATGGGTCAAAATCGGTTTATCGCGGATCGCTATATCGAGTTCTGACTGTACATAGGCGTGATTTTTAACATATATATGATGTGATGTGTGTCAGAAATCTTTATTCGATTTTTCGTGTAAATTCCGGACGAATAAAAACTATAGTCGAAAAAATCTGAAAGCATTTAAAATTTTGAGTTTATTCAATGAGACCCAGTTCTCGAAGATGATTGGATAATTAATTCTTGATCCGAAAGTTACGTTTCTGAATAGACGGTAAAGAAGTCATTGTTTGCGTGATAAATATATTGTCTTGTAGTTTATACTAATTAGACATATTAGATGTGTTATTAAAAGCTTCAGGTGTGGCAATTGGAGTATTAGTTATTGAATATTGTGGATTATTTAGAATTTGCATTTTATAAGTTGAGCTTGGGTTGATTATTAAGTAATTTTTGTGGAACTCGAATAATTGAATTAATAAAACAATCATCCATATAAAAATTTAAAATTTAAAATTTTTTCGTGTTTCGCATTTCAGCCTTAAAGTAAACGTGTTTATTACTTGAGATATTATCGGTTTAATGATTCTTTTCAAACTCTTATCACTAGATAACAAAGACCAAAACGTTATCTAAGGGTTACCGTGGGAGATTGTTGTTTCCTATTTTCTTATCACAGATATTAGATATCTGCGAACGCAAGGAGAATAATTTTTTTTTTTTGATGTATGATCAAAGTTACATATTATCAGCCACCTCCATCATATAATATTCTAAATATGGGTTAAATTAACACGTGCTGCGGCTTGTTATTTTGATAAAAAATTTTTTAATTGAAACTTCCAAACATGCATGTATTACTACAGTCCGCGACATAAATATCCGGAATTTATCGCGACAAATAAAAAAATTGTAAATCTTATTTTATTCGTTTCATATTTATACTATTCGTAGATTATAATATACAGATTAACAATATAAAAAAAATTAATAATTAATTGAAAGCCCTTTTTTTTCTATAACTTCAT